TGAGGACAGGCTGGAGTTCAGGGGGGAGAGAGGAGCAAACTGGAAAGCTCATTTGGACTCCTGACCGCTGGGAGGGAGAACAAAGCTTGTTTCCAGTTTAGCTGGCCTCAGTCCTGACTTACGGATGGCTCTATACATCCTAGCACCATCGCCTTGTTGCTCATTTAATCCACACAGAGGAAAGATCAGAGCTGGAAGATGGCTCAGTGTTAATAAGCTTCTGTTTCCATCTACCCCAAGCGACCAACAGCACAGTGCAAAAGGATACACTTGCAGTTTGGTAAATCACCACTCCCCTCAATTAAAGGAAGCTAGAAAACCATAACTCCCTAAAATATTCATAGGCAGCTGTAACTAAGCCAGTGAGCCAAAGATTAGCATAGGGAGTAGCAAAGAGAAAGGGCCTCTCATTTAAATGGGTCGTTAAGGAGCCAGGGTTAGAGTATGAAAGGAAATTACATACTAATTAGCTCATGTGTCTCACACACACCATAACAACTCTGGAGGCCCCGAGAGAGCTGGGGAAACTGTTCCCTGCATGTTAAGGGGCTTTGCTCATTAGCTGATTTGCACCTGGTTATCCATCTAAACTGTCTGATTGTCCTAGGCCCATATCTATCTTAATCTGAACTGGGAATTGGCTGTACTGACTGCTGAGGCCTAGTGTCTCTCTCACGTATGCTCCTTGCAACCTGGGGCTCGCCAAGATGCGAATGTTTAAACATGGCTCGGCAGTGTGAAATCGCCTTTTATTTTTTTGAAATGACATTGTGAGTCCCTGTATTTATTGGCCCCTTTAATGACTAAAGGTCAAAAGGGCCCAGTTTATAAGGAAAGTAATGAGATTTTCTCCTGCCAGCTCTGCAAACTCAGCCTGGGATCTGAGAGTCCAGATGGGTACTTTTCTTCTGATGCATTACTGCTGGTAATAAAGTCTTAACAGACCAGTTTAGGACCTCAGTGATACCTGTGCCACCCTCCTGCCTCCAGTTTTGCTAATGATACACAAGATGGCATAGACTTCAATTGAACTTCCTGGATCTGCACTGGCTGCACTCTTCCCTTTTTATGCTCGTCTCCTACTCTCTCTGGTCTCCTGGTAACAAACTCCCTCCTCCCGATTCTCTTCAGCTCTCTTGGCTTTCCCACACTTGCTAGCTCCTTTCACTGCCTCTTTCCTAGAAAAACTTCTCAGGAGCTGTTTGAGCAGCAGGAAGATGGGAGGCATGTTGTCCCCATGACCACCAGTCTTTTCAGCCCTCATAAGCTTGGACAGTACATGGTTAAGAATGACTACCTTGTGGACACTGTCCCATTGGGCAGGGTCTCTTTTTCACTGAAATACAGCAGAAGCCTGCAGTATGTAGTCTAGTACCTCATCCTCCGATTTGCTCAGAAGTGGACAAAGCTCCACCGTTGACCTCCAGGGTAAGGAATCTCTTTCCTTTTAGTTACACTGACAATTTCCACTGCTGACCTGGTTTTGCACGGCTCCCTCCTGGTTTTCTCTTGCTCTGAAGGGCAGCAGCAGTTTGGGACTGGCCTGTGCCAAGACCTGGCTGCAATATCCTTTCTGCAGGGCAATGATTTGGGGTGGAGAAGTGAAAAAAAGGGTTCTGCACATTCCCTACTCACCCTAGGATTTGGGGAATCAGGCGACAGGTGAAAGAGCAACTTACACTTCCCTTCACTTCCCCACACAGATCCCTGTGTCTAAGTCATAATCCAGCCTTAAGTAGGTAAAAGAGACAAAGGATGGGAGGAAGAAAGCATTCTTATCCCCAAAACACAGGGGAAGACAATGATGCATACGAGGATTAACTGACTCATCCAGGGACTCATACAGGGAGTCTGGCAGAGCAGAGAATAAAACCTAGGCTTCTCAAGACTCAGTCTGAATCTCAAACACATCAGTATGTATGTCCAGTCCATGTTGTTCTTTCTAATCCCCGTTACTTTGCACTGGTTAACACTGAATTCCAGCTACTAACATGTTGCTTATTCTTCCCATCTTAAGTGGCCACAGGTCCTTCTGGATATCCCCACAATCCTGCCTAGTCCTCACTCATCTTCCTCATTTGCCAGCTTCAATAAGGTTTGCTACCACAAGGCTCACTCCTCTTCCTTCTGGGTGGCACCAGTTTTTGAAGAAGCTGACAAGAGACGATGCATCACCTGCAGAAGGGCTGACCGACTCTGGGAGGGAAGAGTGATGGCCTGAAGAGCCCAAGGCCACCTACCAGTGGGAGGAAGAGACATTGGGCCAAAAACAAAAGGAAGAGTAAAAGAAAACAAAGGAAGTGCATGGTGAGGAGATGCAAGAGGAGGAGGGAAGAATGGAATGAAAAGGGTGGAGAAGAGGAGAGCCAAAAGCAGAAAGGTGTGAGAGTTGGGAGCACAACCACTTCTGGGCTCAAATAAAGAAACAGGCATGCAGCAAAGGATCCTCCTTGAAAGAGGCAGCCACTGTCCAGCCATGGAAGAGAAGGAAAGGGGTATTATGGGGAGTGAAGAGAAAGGATGGGATGTCCCTGACAGATGAAACAATACCCATCTCTTATAGCAAGGGTGTCAAACTCACATTGTGCCCCAGGCCAGATCTTGGCCTGCAGGGCCCCAGATCCAGCCTGGGGCATGAGGAAGCCACGGCGGCAAGGGCAGCTCTGACTCTGACCTGAGCATGAAGCAGCAGCTGCAGTCCCTGCCCCATGTCCCATGCTGAAGCCAGAGCTGTTGTGGCTGTTGTGTAGCAGCTCCAGCTCCAGCACTGGATATGCAGTAGGGACCAGCAGCTGGGAGGTAGGGCTGCAGCAGTGGTGACAAGTGAAGCAGCTGGAGGGCGACCAGGACTATATCAAGCCCTTGCTGGCCTTTCTACTGCTGACCACCACATCCACTGGGGCCCAAGCGTCTCAGGTTCTGTATCAGGCCACTCTTTCCCAGCCACTTCCAGTGGTCCATTGGTACGCTGGCTTGCTGTAAGTTTGATACTTCTGCCTTACAGAAAAGACCTGCAAAAGGATCTAATCATTAGGGATAACCTTTCCAGAGTGTTTTCTCCTTTCGAATAATTATGAAGAAGTTCACAGAGAATTTTATTCCTGGCAAAAAAGTTCCAAAGCTCTACTTTCTCCCATAAATTCTCGAGAACCCTGCTGGCCAGCTCCTCACTTAGACTCAGCATGATATTAAAGCACAAGTATCAGTGTGAGCCAGTGAGCAGTCCTGCTGATACAGAGGGGGCACCTCACATGTTTAATGTTCCACACATGCTGAAGTGCCTTGTCAAACTGGGGATCTCTGGTGTACCTAAGTGCAGCTCTATTCAGGCAAATGTAACAGTACTGCTTTACCCAAAAGACAGAGAAGGTGGCCCTTTAGGAATCGTTACTAAAAGATTGTCTAGGACTTTTTCATAAAAGAAAAAACAGCCATTACTTAGACATGCCAAGGTTCATTACCTAATCATGGGGACTGTTAAATGAATGAAGAGTGTTAAAAGATGTCATAAAGCAAAGCAGCACATTTTTTGAGGTCAACAGAGGTCCTGATGAGGCTGTCTTGTTTCTTATGGGGGGAGGGGGGGCCAGGAAGGGGAAGAAAAGAAATGTAGAAGTGGGCACTGAGCAACAAGACATCTTTCGTTCAAATCAAATCCAGTTCATTATTTTTTACGACTTTTATTATGTTTACTGCGGTGTGCAACCCAATTGAACTCATTAATTCGGCAATTATACAGAACAGGGAAAAAGAGCCTTAGGCCTTGACTTGCATCCAAACTGCCTCAAATGACAGGCTCCAGCTCTCTGCACCAGCTCTTAAAAGACAGGAATTGTGTGAAAAAGACAATACATTCAGAGAGGAGCTTCCACTGACACACGTAAATGAGAAAGAAAGGAAGGATTTTGCTCACAGGCCTTTTATGCTTTTACACACAACAGAACATTTGAGGTAAGCCCATCATTTCTTTCTTTCCTGCAAATCTGTCCTCTTTATGAAGTTCCCTTATGCCTCCTCACAGCAGTAAACATTCCCATGCTTTAAATACACAGTGTACTGTATTTTTCCACCTGGATCTCTCCCTGACTCCTCACCCTGCTCCTTAGTGTAGCCTTGAAAATGGGCAGCCCATCTTTCACTGTACAAATCCCTGGGATGAGGAAACCTATTTAGGCAAAGCCACTCTCTCCAATTAGAGATCTTTGGACCCAAAATCTTCATCTAGGGCTCATGAATATTACACGCACGTGGCTAGATAGAGAGCCAAATCGCCTTGGTTGGCAGGGAAATTCTATGGGCATCGGGTGCACAAACACAAGCTGTGAAAATAAAAAGGAATAATTTGGCGTCTGGTGCACGTATGAAGGAACGTTTGGAGCAGCGTTCTCCAGCAGGGCCTTCCAAATGCACTGTGCAGCAACGCGCATTTGTGCAGCAAAATTGTTTCAATTGTGCACCAATGTTTAGCAATGTGCACGGTGAATATGAAACAGCTGCCAGAGCTCCTGGGGCTGCTGCCCTAACCAGTGCTGCATTTGCTACCACTGTCAGTGACTTTTCTGTACTGCTTCAGGAATGACTATTGAAACCTATGCCTAGGATACAAACAGTGGTACTCTAAGATAAAGCTGTGACTGCATGGCCACAGCCAGTTATGTGATATGGATCCTCCTACCAAGGAATGGTCTGTTGGAGAAACACAGGGAAAGAGAAAGAAGCAGGATGGTGTCTCAAAATGGGCAAAGTCAGTGTCCCAAAGAAAGCAAGATGACTATTTGAAGCATGATCTAGCTCCTGCTGACATCATCAGGCATTAGTCTGTATCTGTGAGCCACAGCGGAAGAGCAGCTTCACCCTCCGAGTGCATGCACAAGTGACTGGCTGTATTCACAGCATCTTTTGAGTCTTGGAACACTGTGCAGGTGTACTGCAATAGGCAGCAGGCACAGGAAGAAAATGCATGGGTGGCAAGATAAGCAGTGTATTAATGAATTACTTACTCTGGGGAAGATTCTGGGGTTAAATTGGACATCTCCTCCGGTGTAGGTACTGCATGCACATACACAGCCAAAGACAGGGAGGGAGAAAAAGGACACGGTGAATAAGCAGACCCTTCCCTTCCTACTTCTGTACCAATGAAATCATCTTTGCACCACACTCCCCTTGCATCTCTCCCTTGCAAATAGCAGGCAAATCCAAAAGTCTCAACACAGGCCTTTTGTCTCTAGATTCCTGCACTGACTCTCCTTTAATTTAGTGATATACTTGGGGTCTGACCCAGAGATCACTGAGGTCAAAGGAATGTTTAAATGGCTCCAGTGGCTCTGGGTCAGGTTATTCCTGTGGTCTCTGATCATCACTTTCCATTGTTCCCTGCCTCCTCCCACCTTCCCCTTGCAATTAGTAAATAAATAAAAGCCCATGGTTAATTTTCACACTTTAATCAAGCTTTTTGTCCAGAGATTGTCCATATCCATTGAAAATAGGGAGGTAAACCTTGTGAACTCTCCTAGGTGTAGACAAGGTGTGAAAGCCCATCACATCATCACCTTATCCCAAATCCAGCAGGCTCCAGCCAGAGGCTCAGGCTGGTGCCTAAGTCAGGTCACAGTCATGATGTTCAGTCCTTCTCTGGATGGATCCACCACCATGGATACAGAGACTCTGACAACCAGGGCCTATGCCTCAGCTCTTCCACACTATAACTCAGGTAGTCCTCCTCCCGTAAAGGACTCAAACCCACACCTTAGCTATACAATCATAAGCAACCAGATTAGATTCAGAGAGCATCTGGGGTTATCCAGGTGACTTCAGGTGTCCTATGCCAGACAGGAAATAGCCACCTGGGTCCTGTAGCAAATAAACTTGTCTCTCTCAGGACTCCCAGGTCTCCAGCAATGGAAACACCGCACACAGACCTGGAAGCACTGATTATATTCAGGGGAAGTTTATACTGAATGTACAAGGGAAAGAAAGAGTTAAACAGAATTATAAAATGACCTGTACCATGGGTAGACAATTTCACTCTGTTTTCATCAACTGAGCACCTGCCTTGGGAAATAACAAGGCCCAGTCTAGCAAAGGTGCTGTGGATCATGACTAAAGGTCAAATTTAGCTAAGATGTAGGCAGAATTGAGGTGCATGGGGAGATCTGAAAAGGGTCTACAGGATGGGGATAGCAGGAAGCATTGCAAGTCCTAACTCAAGTATATTGGCAGAGATGTGTGGGGACTCAGGGGATGCTTCAGGCTGGGATCATACTTCAGCAGCAGAGTTGTGCTGTTGGAACTCATACAGAGCCTGCTCCTACTTTTCTGGGACTGGCAATGACCAGAGCCACTATTCTCTTGTTCTGCCAGCACTAATCTCAGCAAATGAGATTTACACGGTCACTCTGGGGTATGAGAATGCCCGTGGGTGTTTGGATAATGGACTCACCTTGCAGTTTCCGGCGATGGAAGCGAGGAGACCCCAGGAAGCTGTTCTTGATGGAGTTGAGTCGTGTCCTCCAGGGCATTCCTCCAATGCTGGGGCTGGATGGTGGCGTTGGGTTGGGTGTGCCTGCTGGGCTCTCCTTTGGCGTATGGACAGGTGTCCCCTTAGGGGTAGGGAGGGGACTTCCCCTTGGAGAGGGGTGAGGGGTGACCTGTATGATGGGGATAGATTTGGTGCTTGGGTCAGTACTAGAAGGGAGTAATCTAACAGGAGACATAGGGTTGGTCTGCATTGTAGGAATGGCCAGCTGTGGGTTAAAGCCAGTGGCAGGCGGGCGACTTGGAGTGTTCTGCACAGGGGGATTCTGGGAAGAGGGGGGGTTGGCATTGCTAGTAGGGAGTGGGTTGGATTTGGTAGACTGGAGTGGTTTTTCAGCCAATTTGCTCTTGGATGGCAAAGTCTGCGTCTTTGGGTTGGGCTGCAGTGCTGGCTTTGGTTGGAGAACATGTCCAGGCCTGGAGGCGTTCCTACAAGCATCGGGTTCCAAGGAGACTTGGGGTCGGGGGGAGAAAGGGAGGTCAGGGTTTTGAGGAGGGATGAAAAACTTTCTGATAGGCTACAAAGACAGACGCAGAGTGTCCATGCACATTGAGAGCAGTGAGACACCCACACGGTGGGTGAACAGACAAAGGAAAGTCAGAATAAAATCCATTCGAGGCACAAAGAGGCAGCATGGCAGAAGGAGATGGGAGAGATGGAGGTGAAGGGGTGTTGGGAGGGGGTTTGCAAAGAAACAAAAAACAAACAAACAAACACACACAAAACAAAACAAAAAAAAAACATGCAGTTAGCTGGGAACGCAGCATAATCAACAACAGCAGCAGCAGCGGCGGCGGCAGCGGCAGCAGCAGCAGCAAGAACAACAGTGTCATAGCAGGCGTTATTATATTAACCAACCATGTGTCAGCCAAGGAAAACCACAGAGAGCAACACAAATTAAAAAAAAAGGGTGGGAGGAAAATTAAAATAACTGAGAAAAAAGCAGAAGGACAGAGACGCTACTTCCCTGGGAGTGCTCTGAGTGCCCCGTGGTGAGGGAAGCACGAGGTGAGGAAGGGGGAAAAAGAGCCATTCCAACCATACAGAAACTGAGACGTGCTTAGGTTGGGCATATCTCCTGGAGCTCAAAGTGCCCATCATCGAGCCCAGGAGAGAGATGCAAGTCCAAAAGAAAAAAGGGAGCGAGGCGCATGTGAAGTAGCAGGAGCAGCACACAGGTTACTGCAGGCACCAAACAGAACCTTTCCCTGCCTTTCCCCTTCCTTCCTCCCCCCACTCAGATTGGCACGTGGGCTCCAGAACCCATCAGTAAAGGACCGAGAAAAGGGAGAGCTTCATCCACCTTCCTCCCCTGGCCAGGTTGGGATAACCTGCTTGGCATTAGCAAGAAGAATATGAAGCACAGCAGGGAGGGGAGGGTCCTAAACCAGGGTTTAACTTGGTGCTGGTTTGCAAACAGCTGAAGAATGAGAATCCCCAAAGATCCTGGCTAGACTATCTCCCAAGGAAGGAAGGAGACCTCCCATGAGCCCCATGGTCTCCTTCCTGGCTTCCATTCCCCACCCCCCAGCTTCTCATTCCCTTCGTCAACCATTCTTGACGAATTCTTGGGGCATTCTTGTTGTACCACATTAGCAAGGAGAATATGAAGCACAGCAGGGAGGGGAGGGTCCTAATATTAACCACCTATGTGCAAAATTGGCTATGAAGTCCCAGTAGCGCATGCTGGGCATGATGGTGGTGACTGTCACAGAACATAGTTAAAAAGAGGCAAGCAAAATCTCATAATCCAGTACTGAGTGATCAAGACAAGGGATCATGCCTCTTTTTTTTTTGGGTGGGGGGGAAATATTCACACATGTTAGTTACATGGGTGTTCTGGGAAAGTAGTTTAAATGAGCTCAGCAAACAGCAATGCACAAACACAAGGAGTAAAAAGTCTTTTAAAAAAGGACACTGGTGGTCTAAAATTCATGTATTTGAAACAAAACTATTTTCTTAGATGTTGCTACTAATGACGGGTATAGTGTGTGCTGAAAACATTGTAAAAAATCACTTCTTTGGCTCTTTATTTTTAACCCAGCACTCAGCTTCTTCTCTGGGTCTCTAATGATTTTCATTCATATTGCTGTTAACACCTAAAGGCTCTAATTAAGAGCCATACAGACATATGACCAGGCCCCAAGTTTTAGTGAGCGGACCAATGGTTTTCATGTCCTAGTTCTCATGGACTAGCACAGGACTTCAACATTTGAACAAATATGGAGGAATAGTTAAAGCAAACAAACAAGACTGTTTGCATTGAGGCAGACTTACTCCAAAGACCCCTGAAAGCAATGGGAGGCTTTTTATTGACTTTAGTGGGCTTTAATTCAGGCCCTGAACACCAAAAGAAAACTACTACATTAAAACATTTCTATTAACCTTAGGTTCCACAAATCTATTTCAAAATTAGAACATCTGATCTTTTTTGATAAGCTCCAATTACCACTGGGAACAGAAAGGCAAACAGATTAGGAATGCGGCTGGCTTGTGCAAGTCACTAGCAGGAATTGGTCACTAACCGTTTGCAAACCGTTCCAGTGGAAAAGCATGGGAATGTAATAATGAGAAAGATTCTCCTGCAATTTTTGCAGTTCATGCACCAGATAATGTTTGGCAGCTCAGGATTCAGTTTTATTAAAAATCAAACCAAACTGCTCTCAGTTAAATCAGCATAAATTTGAAGCCATTAATTTTACTGGGTTTACAGCTGTGTAACAAGAATACAATTTGGCCCATGCCTTATTGGTGCAACTAGGATACTAAAAGATGCACTAAGTTCCTGATCTTCTGAGATTCAAGCTCTTTCAACTACCGCTGAACTCAGCATCTCATGGAATTTTGCCCAAGTAGCGTAAATACATGTTTTATTGTTAAAATACTTTCCTACCTGCAATAATCTCAATGGTGCCTATACATGTGTTATTTAGCATTCTAATTGGAATGCTAATTAATTACTCAATTAATTGAGTCTGCTCCATATTCTAATTAGAATCCTCCAGCATTCCCACAGCGACAAGTGTATTAAGCCTCCAGGTTTCAAAATGGCTGCAGGGGCGCTTCAATTAAAGCTCATTCACAATGAGCTTTAGTTGAAGCGCCCTCATGGCCATTTTGAAATGCTTAATACATGTGATGGTGAGCTGTTTTAATTAGAATGGCTCTCTGGGAACTGCTTTAATTAACACATCCCCAAGCACATGTTTAGGTGTTAGTATAAGCATCACTTAGGCCTTTTTAAATTAAATGATTTTTTTACCCCAAGTATGCCCCTGTAAGTCCAAAATGTACCCCACTTACAATAGTTATGGCCTGTTGAGAATGCCATCTGGGTGTGAAACAGCTTTTCAAAATTATTTAATCAAATGGGCCTAAGTATTAATCTTAACGCACAGTCACAGTAGACAAGACACAGGAAATCTTATTTATGAAAGCATTTCTTATGCAATCAAGCAGTCCCACTGAGGACAAGGGAAGTAAGTGCCCCTGTGAGAAAATATTGCTCACATGATTTAGGCTGGCAGGACTGGCTGCCTATTTTTGTGCACAAAACTATTCTGGGGGCTCTTTTTCCATTTATTCCAGAGCAACAGTTAATGCCAGTCTCGGAAGCCTACCCATTCCTGCTAATATCAATCATGTCAATGCACAGACAATACCAGTGCATGAAATGGAGCTTTGTTGGCTCCTGGTGTACTAAATTCATAGAAGGAAGGGACCTAAGATGTTTGTTTGGTGCCAAACAGGAGAAATACTGATGGAAAAAGCTTCAGAACTCAAATACTTCTAAGAAAATGTTTAAAACAATGCTGAAGCTGGAAAAGTCAGTGAAGCTTGTATGTGATGGTGGCTCTGAGAATGGGAACTACACACAACTGTTTTACTGGGAGTGGCAATTTTAAGCATGTGGGATGCTGGTATTATTTATACATGTATTAAGGCATGAATTTTCATAGGATGGGGTCGTACCTTCTCACAGAAAGACTGGGGATTTGGAAAGCGCTATGAAGACCCTCAAAACTATGTGAGACAAGTCCTCAGCTGGTGCAAGTCACCACAGACTAGGCTCAAGGATAAGGACATGAGCCTTCTGTTGTGGCTCTGGGCTGGGAGCTGCACTGACAAAACTTTAGTTGCCAGATGCTATTCCTGGAATCCTTCTCTCTGCCCCAAAAGAGGCTCCCCACCAAAACACGGCCTCTGTCCAACAGCAACTGCATCCTGGCTCTGTTATGGCTTGGCATTAGGTTCACTGATCATTGCTGAAGGTTGTGCACGACTTAAGTCCCCCAAGACTTTCCACCTTTTCCCCCAGGCACACCTTCTCCACCAGATCAAGCTTGATCCCCGGCTGGCGGTGATGATGTTTCTCCTGCCCCAGCTCTTCCCCCCCCCCCCACACACAAAAAAAGGATAGCTCCAGGTGGATAAGATAGTCTGTGCACTGATACTCAGGGAATTATTCTCTTATGTTTAATTTGATTTTCACTCAGCTAAGAGCCTACTAGGACTAAAGGGAAGTTTGCCTTGGCAGGGTTTGACTAGACAAAATTTGGTTCACTGATGGGATACAGAAGTGAGTGCCTCGGTTTCCCCAGACTTTCAGTGCACCAACCTTAGGTTTCCGTCAGGCTTCTGCTCCACCCTCAGCTACCTATAATTTCTTTTCCCAGAAGCAGTAACTACAGCAGACAGATGAAGCATGGTGCTTACTCCCATGCTCCATCTGAGTCCCCTGTGCTAGCCAGACTGACTTTTTGTCAAGCATGGTTCTGTTGTAGCAAGCAACTCTTCCTAACATGGCTTGCTGCTCCAGCATGGCTTTGTAATAATCAGAACATTAGCTGAAACCACGCCGCACAGTCTTCAGCCGGGCATTACAGGCCCCAGCCATGCTTAATCATAAGGGCGGCTTTAAACATTATTATGATGCAAACGATGAGGAGGGCTACAGCAAAATTACTGCATCACCACAGGCAACACAGGAAACATGTATGGCAAGAGAGACTGCCCTTGGATCCAAAAAACATCTCCCTGACCCACACAAACTGATGGCAAGCCAAGGAAAATAAAAAGCATTGCACACAGAACCACAGCTCTACCAGAACAGCTGCTGAGAAGCAATAAGCATGGCTAAGGGTATTGTACAAAGAAAGCCTAAAGCAATGTCACTTACCCTTGGACTGCTGAGGGGGCTGGTGGAGAGGCCAGATGAAGCTCCGCTGATCGACCGAGACCTGAGTGGACACAACAAGTAGAGATGGCCCTCAGAACCCCCGGGTGAGCAACAGCCCCTGAACACCAGCCGCCCCATGCACAGGCATGAGGCGAGGGGCAGGAGGAATGCTGCCACTCAGAAAAGCACATAGCTCTTTCCTCATCCTCTCATTACTGTGACGCATCTGACATATCTTCCGATTCCCTGGCCCCCACATCAAGTCTTAGGGAAAGGACCCTATTAACTCCCAGATACTCTCTTTCTGAGTGGAGCTGGGCACTATCACCTGCTTTTGGGTCTGGGTATTCACACATGGACAGCTACTGCTTCCTGCCATTGGAAACTAGCACAGCTCAAGGCAAAAGGCCTTATCAGAAGCTCAGTGCGTGTGTTGAAAATTATTTTTGGCCCAAGTTATCTATGTATAGAAAGAAAAATCCTTTGTATGCTATAGGTGAAGCCCTCCACAACATAGAAAACCATTCCATGGGTAATTTGCAGGAGCAGGATATTGTTTCAGGTACTAAGAAAAGACTGACTCTACCATAAGCATGGTATGCTATCTTCTCACATCGGAGGACCATCCCAGTGACCCCAAAACTCAGACCTGTTGCGCATGTTTGTTTAAAGCTAAGCCACCATTTCCAGCTCCTTGCTGGCAGGATTTGCCACATCATGGGCTCTCCAGATAGGTTTCTATATAAAATCACTGTTCCCTTCTGCTCGCTAGGAAACTTCATGTAGGGGACCACGGGCTTCTTGGAGGGCCCCCCCTGTATGAAACCACCTATTCTTCTGTTCACCAGAATGGCTCAAAGACCAATCTGCTAAGAGCTCAGCCCTGCTGTGCACACACCAGGATAACCTCTCTTTCAGATCATGAGCTCTTCACCTCTAAGGGGTTACCTGTAGGTGGGATTACTGCCTCTTCTGCCTGTTGATGAGTTCTACAAAGCAGCAATTTCACACCAACCTGTCACTGTAGGGGCCCATGGGGGATAACAGGCCCTTCTAAACACTGACAATATTTATTATTGGTTGGCCTGCTGCTCTGTCAATGAGCATGTTGTACTTTATGGGAGCGCTAACATTCATATGGAATCACCTGCCCTTGTGTTCTCAAGCAAAGGTCCCTGCCAAAACCTTTGGCACCTAGCAATCTAAACACATCAACACTGTACCAAGACAAGCAGTCCTAAACTGAAAGGACATGCAGGCCAAACGGGGGATGTAATGCTTGAGCAGGGACAAAATTATGTGCTAGAGCAGAAAGCACTTCCTGTCATCCTACACAGATCCAGAAGTAGGACTTAAAAGTTTCAGAGGCCACTACTTTCAATCCTCCTCAACTAGAAGGGTCAATCTTGAAAAACAACTTTGGAAGGAGATTACACTGGAGAAACAACCCAGCTCAAAGCTAACATAGAAACTGTCAGTTGCCCAGTGTTGCAAACGTCTCACCAATATATGAATATAGCACCTCCTTTTGGAAATACAAAACAATTATTCACCTTCAGCTAACATGATAAAGAAATGATGAAATCGTCTAAGTGTTTGTAAAACAGAATATACATGTGTAAACATGCACACACACAAACGTGTGTTTTAGGTGTATACATATAAGCATAAATAGATTTAAATAGGTATTCATTACAAATGAGTGTGTGTGTGTGTGTGTGTGTGTGTGTACAGATATATCCATATATATATATGGATTTGTAAGAATATGCAGCCCTTAAGAAAACCCAAAATACATTAAGTCAACGTCCCCTGTCGATCAGTCTTATTCAGAGCTCAGCAGCTTAGGCCTATGGGCTGGATCTGGCCCATGGAAGCACTAGATACAGCTCACGAAGCTGGGACTTTGATGCTGCTGCTCCACAGCCAGGCAGTGGAGAGAAACGGCACCAGGGAGAAATGGAATCCAGGTCCAAGCGCCTCAGAGCTGACCTGGGCTATTCCAGCCCACCACCAGAAAATGCTGCTGACCACTGGTTTCATTGATTTCCTCTATAAGAATAAGATCATAAATGTAGTTGCAGGATGGTTTCACATCTACATTTTCTAAAAAAGAAAAGATACAATAGCATTTTAAAATTCTATGTGAAGCAGGAGAAATATTTCCACTGAGGGCTTCAGCTAATATGAAACACAGTGGTAAGTCCCATCCTCATAGTTCATATCAAACGCAGAAACCCTCTGTGGAATTCCTTCCTTGTATCTCAGTGTTGCCGGGCCATTATTCTGCACCTCTATAAAATCTACAGGCCTAAACTCTGCATTTGCATCCCTGTGGGGTTCCCAAGAGTAGACAGCCGTGTAGATTCAAGCAGAGTATGGATTGTTTTGTAAATATGCTCTACTTTCACTGGATTTTTAGGAAGTTTTCTTTTACTTCTCACTCTTAATTGAACCAGCTAAATGCAAACACAGCTGTGGCCCTGTGTACTGAATGTCCAGTTAGTTACCATCACCTCTGTGTGTATGAGAGTCATCAGGGAAAGATCCCTCCAAACCAGAAGTACCAACAAGTAACACATCACCTTGCAGAATGTTTTTACAGGTAATTCCTGTAAATACCTTCAAAGCACTCAGGCCCCTAACTTCCACTGGGAGCTGTTCCCATTAACACTCCAGCATGGCTGGAAGTGGATCTTTAGCACTCACCTGAATTTTACAACCGTTTGATTAAAGCCTTCAATCCCCCAATTTCTCTCTCCAATCGGGTCTGCTCCCAGGTATCCCGACTACCCCCCCACACACACCTCCACCTCCCTCTCCCCGCATTTAATAAAGCAAATAGTCACAAAGATGGGGGCACAACATAGCAAGGCCCCACCTCCTACACCACAATTCTTTATGAAAGGAGTGGTCATGTTGTGAGTTTTCATCCAGTTTAGAAGTCTGTGGCAGGGGACAGAACAAAGGGTTCGTGTAAACTCCACTGGGAAAAACATTCAGCATCTATATCACTGCTTACATGCACTCAGCCGTACTTATACTCAGTGGCTTCTGCTGTTCTTTATACAAATGAGGTAAGAGGTAGCATCAACCCTGTAATCTTGCTTAGCTTTACAACACTAGAAATTGTGTGTTGGGGACACTGGGCAGAGTTTAGGAGGTTCATGATTGATTTTAAATGCTTCTGAGGAAAGAGCACTCCCAATTTGAAACATTTTCTATCTCCTGGAAAGCAAAGGAGGGGCAAGAGGGGGACTGATTCTTTGAGTTCTCCTTTGTACTTTCCTATTTTTAAGTAGTCCCAGTATTTGCAATGACCAGTGGGAGAAAGTTCCCAAATTGGTTGGGGGGAACTCACACATGACAGGCTCTTCAGCTTCCCCAAAGAAAAGCCATCAAGCAAAAATCAAAGCTTTTTCTTCTTCCCAGCAAGATCACCTTCGCTTGGATATACGTGAGTCTTGGCTGCAAAAAAACTACCTCAGGAAGACTTTATGTTGCTCCTGCATCTGTCATTCCAGTGCAGGGGACAAAGGGAAAGGGCGAAAAGCAGTTGAGAAAAGGTGCCCTAGTCATGGCATGATGAGACAAAAGAACAGAGATAATTTAAATATATATATGTATCTCCTGGACAGTGGAAGTGGAGGCGGTATAGTGTGCCCGCAGACAGTACATTGGCACAGCAGAACCTGAATGATCTTGCCGAGTGCGGAAAAAGAAAGATGAATGTGGGAAACCACAATGGAAAAAGTACCTTTCATCTATGACTATGAAATAAGTTTATTTAGATGAAAATATTTCTTAGTGTGTAACCTTCTCAGAGTCTCTAAGGGTGCTGAACATCATTGGAAGTTAAGTAATAAATCTATAATTATTCAAATTTAAAAACCCATGTGAGACTTTGGGTACCTATTGGTATGCCTTTCATGAAACTTGTGTGAGACTTGTTGGCTGTACTCTGTGTTGCTCCCTGCACCTAATGGATGGAGTTAAATTGAAGGAGGCTAAAGGGCTTGTTAAAGAAAGCAGGCAGGGAGGGACAACAATGGTCTGGCTAAGGAGCATCCTCTCAAAGATGATGGGCAGGACTTCTCGCCCCCAACCCTATTACAATTTATCAACCATTTATTAAAAATCTCTCTTAATAATTTGTCCTCCTGATGCTTCATATTATAAAGGAAAGTTTAACTTAAATTAGACACAAGTAGATAGATGATTAGAGATTCTGATCTACTAAAAGCTCAGCTGTACGGGGGATAGGGGTGCTGTGAGTTGCCAAGGGTAGGTCAGTGAAGAAGCGGACAGGCTGGGAAGGCTCCCTGAGACAGAGATACCTCTCATATGCTAAGAGCAGTGCATGTTATTCCTCCTCACAAAGAGATGGGGAATAAACTAGATTTGCCTGAGCTATGCTAAATTTAGAGAAGGGGTTGTGCATGTAGGACTCTTTTTTGTTGTATTCCTTGGCATGGGGTGGCTTGTTCCTTTTGGTGTGGGAATAAGTAGTGCTTTTTTTTTTCTGAAGAGGGTTTTGAGTCACTTTAATTAGCTACCTCCAAATGCAAACCCTTGCAGGGTCCAGTCCCATTTGGACCTGATGAGGTAGTCACTGTGAGGACCCACCCAAGGGGCTGCCCTCAGATCTAAGACATCTGGGCTGCCTACACACGTGCAGCTTTGCCTTCCAATTAGAACGCTTTAGCATGGCCTTACCACGACATGTATAAGCCCTCATGCATTTAAAAATGGCTGTGAGGGCGCTTTAACTAAACCTTGTTGAATGAAGTTTAGATAAAGCATCTTGCAACCATTTTTAAATGTGCAGGGGCTTAATACACATGGTGGTGATGTGTTTTAATTAGAGTGGCTCTCCGGGAACCACTCTAAATAAAATGCACCTGCAACCTTGCGCATATGTATAAGCAGCCCTGGTGAGGAGAGATAAAGAGATGAGACCCAGGATCTGCGTGTATGGAAGAGTACTCGATGGCACCCTGAGAAGGCAGCTAAGCTGATATCTCCTTATAATTAATAATATAGCACACCTCATTTGGCCTT